AAGATTCATCTCAGATCTCATGGATTGTAAAGGTGATGAGCTGTTTCAGGATTAGTGAAAGGACCTTTGTGTGTGTGTGGATAAGAGGTACTTTTGTATTTGTTGTTTTTGGTCTCTGAACATTTTTCTTGTATCTATCTACAGATTAGCATTTTGAGCATTTGGAGAAGAATGGGAGGCTAAGGAATTAATCTGAGTGAAACTTCTCAAACAGATGGAGTGCCGTTTGGACCTGAAGAAGGCTTCAAGTGATCGACCGCCTTTTGTTCCTGCTGAGAAAAAGGTGTTGAGCAAGGAAACACAAAGGTCATTTCCACTTGATAAATTCAGAGATGATAAACGCGGTTTATCTTATTCTGATTTCCACCGCGAGATCACCAAAAAAGTTGAAGACGTCTGTCCCAAACGCTTGGAGAATCGTCTCAAGTCACGGATAGGCAGGACCGCATCAGGAGAGAGAGACCTTGTCAAATACAAGTCCTACGTGCCGAGTTATATAAAGAAATGTGAAAAGCTTGAAGGGAAGGATGTTAAAGCTGGCAGCATTGGTTCACCGGACCTAAGGAATAATAGGAAGTTCAGTGATAAACAGATGGATAAGCATACGAGGTCTTCATTGTCCAACACAAGCACATCGTCATCACTCTGGACTGATGAATCATCCACTGATTCCAGCAGAGGCTTGTGTGTTTCTCCTTTTCGAAAAAGGATTAATAACCCTCCACTGCAGTATTATCTCATGTCTTCTAAACCAGGAGATTGTTCTCAAGATTTCGAGCCACCTCGAGATAATAATGATACTTCCCAAAGTCATAGCTTTTTGCCTGGATATAACACGGACAGACAAAGGGATCCCACTGGAAGAGATGGGCAGTTTCATCAAAGCCCTCGTGGAACTGCATTCCTACAGAATGAGAAGAAAGATTCTGATTTTAAGCTTGTCCCAAAAACCAGAACTTTCTTGTGTCCATCAAAGCCTGATAGTCCTTCGTGCACAAGGGTAATATCAAGGAACCTAGCCGATGATTTTAAGAAAAAAGGAGAGAAATTGGATGAGAGAAACCGAAATCCTCGTGTTCATGATCTGTTTGGAAAAGAAAAGCCCGCTGCTGTGTTTGTACCAGGAATTGTTTCTCAGAAGCAGCTTATAGGTTTGTCCAAGTTCTATGATTCAAAAGTGTTATTGGCTGAGCGAGTAGCAGAAGCTAATAGAAAAGGATTACCAGAAAAGTTAGCGTATGGGCAAGGTGCAGTCTTGGAATCTGATGTCGGAGGTCCCTTCCGACGTGAAGCTGATGGAAGTAAGCCGTTCTTAAAGCGTATCAACTTCTTGAGTGCAGAGAAAAATAGAATTTCATCAGAAAGATCGCTTTCAGCTCCACGATCAAGAAAGTCTGAATCTAGTCCGTCAAGGAGCAGGACTTTAGATAGAAGGTCAACAGAAACACTGCCCAAACAGTCAGATCAGAAACCAGCTAAAGTTTTATCAGAAAGAGCAAGGAGCATTTCCCCATTTCGCCGACTCAGCTTCAGCATTGGAAAGTCTAGCAAAAACTCCAACGCCGAAGTTGCTCAGAGTCCTCCTCACTTCAGTGCAACACTTAAATCATCACGATCTGGTTTAGATAATCCATCTACCTCTTCTATTAGCGACAGCTCTTCCTTTGATAATACCAGCACAGGAAATAGAGGCAGGTCTAGTCCGTTGAGAAGGTTACTTGAGCCACTGATGAAACCAAAATCAAGCAATGCATGTAGATCTCCTGAGCCATCACTAAAGGGTGCACCTTCAAGTCAGCAAAAGCATACTATGTCTGACGGTCAACCTTCTTCTTCAACCCTTCTGTCAAGAAATGGAAAATCTTCAACCGTACAGGCTCTTTTTCGAGTGACGTCTAAGAATGATCAACCACTGTTCACTTTTGCGGTTGACAAAGAACAAAGTATTACAGCAGCCACAATAAGGAAACACAATGCCCCAGAAAAGGAAGACTACGGACACAAGTATACATTTTTCACTGTTCAGGAAGTACAGAAGAAAAATGGAAAATGGATGAACCAGAGCAGGAAGGTGCAAGGCCAAGAGTACACATCCAACATTGTTGCTCAGATGAGTGTCTCCAGTTCTACGCCTCTGATTTCCGCTGGAGAAAGTTCTGTCGATAACCTCTTAACCAGAGAATTTGTACTCTTTGCATCTGAATCGCAGCGGACGACTAACGAGCTAGCTGCCATGGTGATCAAGATCCCAAAAATTTCTGACACGAGTTCTACCACACTTGGAGATTACTTTGCAGACGTGAATGCAACAGTGGTACTTCCAAGCGGAATTCACAGTCTCCCACACAAAGGAGGACCGTCATCGCTGATCCAACGATGGAAATCAGGTGGTTCATGTGACTGCGGAGGCTGGGACATGGGCTGCAACCTTAAAATCCTCACCAATCAGCATAATAAACCCAGAAACCCTTCTCTCTCCACTTCAGAGGCCTTCAAGCTTTTCTTTCAGGTTAATATTTTACATCACAAAACTGTGTATACTACATAAGTTTTTTCTGTTTGGCCCCAGTTTTGGAAACTCATTAATGTGTGATTGTTTTAGCAGGGAGGATTCCAAGATAATAACAACCAACCATTATTGAGTTTCACTCCATACAGAGAAGGTGTGTATGCGGTTGAGTACAATTCGTCGTCACTCTCACTCTTGCAAGCATTCTCCATTTGTATAGCGGTTAACGAGGGACGGAATTCGTCAAAGACCGTGGAAGCACCAAACACTTTGCGTGTAGAGAAAGCTAATGGAGAGGTGTCATCGATTCAAAACGAGAGGTTGAAGTCATTCTCAGGTCCTATTGAAGCTGAGGCTCCAGCCAAGTATATCTCACACCCACCATTGTCTCCTGTGGGAAGGGTTTAGTTGCTTTTCGAAATAATAATCTGTGCTATATATATATCTTTTTCTCTTTTTTGTTTTAGTCTCTCTGATGGGTTCGTATTTTCTGTGTAATTACGGTGTGGAAGTAGATTACGTGAAATAGAAATTTGTGAAACTTGTTAATCGAATATCCACCAATGTTTTTTTGTTTTAATTTCTAACTAGGATAATATCCGTGTGGGTTGAAATGAATATACATAAACAAAAATTGAAATTTGTTAGTGTATATTCAAACTTGTGATGATTTTTATAAGTATGTGTACCATCTAGGGATGTAAAAAAAAAATACATAAACCAAATTGAACCGAAACAAAATTCACCAATTCGAACTTCAATCCACTTATATAATAATCTGAATTGGTATATATATTTATATACTAAATTACCAAAACTGAACTCTAGTAGGTTATATACTAAACTTATATGAATTATGAGTTTTCCATTAAAAATGAGATTTTGTACATCTCGTGATAGCATCTCATATTATTAATCAAGTTAGCACCAATTTTGGACTCTAATAGTTAATTCAACTTATATTCATCTATTTGACATTGGAAATCATGCTTTTATCTACAGGGCATATAAAACCAAACTTATAAATATCAAATGACTCTTTTTGGTCAGGAATATAAAAAGAGTGTAGACATATAAAAGACGATAATAGTATAGGAAGTATGGAAATGCCAAGTAATCACGCCACTGATTCCAAAATCTATTCTTTAAACTATGCCAACTTCTTAAAATGTCCACATGTAGATTCCAGAACACACTCAATCTCATAATTTTGGCCACTTATAAAAACAGAAAAACAATATATTATAAAATAGTATATGACATGAATATACTTGCGCAAAGCTGGAAATTTATAATGAATCAGTAAAAATCCACTCAGAAGCATTTTTAAAATCTCTACAGAACATGAAAGTAGATTACGTGAAAGTAGTCTATCTGATGGGTTCGTATTTTCTATGTAATTACGGTGTGGAAGTCGATTACGTGAAATAGAAATTTGTGAAACTTGTTAATCGAATATCCACCAATTTTTTGTTGTTTTAATTTCTAACGTGGACTACTACTGTTGGAGTTTATATGATTTTAGTTAATATTGTTTAACTAAATAATTAACATATAATTAAGGGACACATATCTT